CGCTCTTTGCCCAAACAGTTAGGTTTCTGAAAAAAATCAATAAGCCTGGCAACATGATAGTGGCTTTCAGTAACCTGGCTGAGAGGATCAAGGTAAGAAGCGGAGCAAGTTTAACAGAAAAGTTGGTTATTGGCATCCTTTTCCATTGATTTATCACAGCATCTTTGCTGTGAAGCTGGAATTCTGGGAAATGCTGCTTTGTCTTCAATGACTCGTTGGGCAACTCAGAAGGCTCCCTCTCAATGTGCATCTGTTAACGTTTTAGCATACAGTTCTTGAGTGTGTCCACAGATGTTTGAGCATGTTCCATGAAAAACTAAATGCATAACTTGATGGCAACTAGGTCTGGATTTCTTGGCTCCAGAAGGCTATCAGTTATTTTCCTGTGGAAGAACAGCAGGCTTTACTTTTTATATCAGGCTCCTAGACCCGACTTACATTTTTGCATAGTTTAAGAGTGACTATGCTTGTTGAGCCATCCACTTGACCAGCTATGATGTTTCTAGGTTCCAGTGAGAGATTTTTCAGTCGTGGTGATGTCTTGCTTTTAGTTATGAGTAAAAAGGGACTGGCAGAGCGTATAAGCGTCTACTCAGTAAGCTCTTTCATCTGCTTTTGAAGGAATTGGAACAGCTCCAGGAAACTTAGTTTAGAAACTTAGTTTAAAAGTTCTATCTGTACCAGTCTCTTGCAGACCGTCAGCAACAGGAAGAAGAAACGTATGCAGATGCATGTGATGAATTTCTGGATCCTATTATGAGTACTCTGATGTCTGACCCTGTAGTACTGCCATCTTCCCGTGTCACTGTGGATAGGTCAACTATAGCCAGGCACCTGCTCAGGTACGCAAGGCAATCTAACTGTATCCATGCTCTAGTTAAGCTTCCTTTGTTGCTGACTGCTTTTTACTTGGCAAGTACTGTTGCTTTCCTGAGTAGGAAGCTTGGGAGTGGGGTGAGGGTGCACACATGCATGTAGTCTCCCTCATTCCAAAATTGTTTGGTTACTGTGAAGTCCAGGACATTAATATAACTGTGTTTGGAAGTGTTCATAATCTGCTTGTCTCAGACATGACCTGTGAGAGTAGAATTTCATTTTGTGAAATAAATTCCAGACACTAGAAGAGTGCCTAAAACAATGCTTAATGCCTTTTCATTGACTTAAGTCCAGAAAAGGAAGTGTAGAAGAGATCATGCAAGCTGTCTTTAGTGAAGGATGCCTTGATTGGTTGTCAAACTGCAGATATTCCTACCTCACCCTTTCTTGTCCAAAATGACTGCGTGTTTTCTTCTAATACATGCAAAATATTTCCTCATTCATCCTTATTGTACTGGGCCTTAAGAATGAAGCGAGTTGACAGTAGATATCTCCAATGTATACTTTTTTGTAGTAATTTCATTTATCCAATGATACCAACACCTGCTGGTCTTTGTTAGCTAAGCAAGTCTACTTAATAGGAGAAGGATCATGCTGATCCTTCCAGCTTGTCTTTCCTGTTTCTTCTGGGATGGGACTGTCCAAACTAACCTCCTTATTACTTTTTCAGTGACCAGACAGATCCTTTTAATCGGAGCCCCCTCACTATGGACCAGATTAGACCAAACACAGAGCTTAAAGAAAAGATCCAGCAATGGCTTGCAGAGAGGAAAAAGCAGAAGGAGGAGCTGGAGGACACACTGAACTGACAAAGAAAAATCTACATCTCTAGACATACAATCATTTGCAAGCTAAATGCCTTGCAGGGGTGGTAGCTGGTGCTCCAGAGCATCCATGAAACTTGCCACTCTCTTTAATCAAAATGCATTTAGTACATTACCACCACATCTGGAATCTCTCCTAGGACCTTCCCTTTTATCCCTTCTTTCAACTTTCCTTTTAAGACTTACTGTTTAATATTAGAAATTTCCACTGCACTACAGCTTCCTAGCCTCTTTTGATTGTCCCTGTATTAATTGTTCTTGATTGTGTTGGCTGTTTCTAATGACTGCCATGTTATGTTTTCAATGATACCAAAAACCTTCCTCCGTACTCCAACCTCCATTCTATTGCTGCTATTTGCTCCCAAGTTGTTTAAACTTGTAATCTTATGTTTAATGTGAAAACAATGCCTTTGCATCCACAGCAGCCCTTACGTTTAGATGTTGGTGAGGACTGAAGGGGAGATGCCAGTTTGTAAATGCTGGTTGTGTACCAGGGTTTGTTTTCGGTATGGTATATGGCAATTCAGGGGTATGGAAAATGAAGTATTTGGAACTCTTACAGCTGACTGTGAAGACCTAGCAGCTCATGGCACTCTGTAGTTGGAGGAAGGAGGTCTTAGTTTTAGAAAAGCCTTTTTGTTTTGGCTTCTAGGGAGAGAGACAGATTGCCTGTTTGGCTGAAGAACAGCCTTGCAGGAGCTTTTAATAGCAGTCCCCACTGTCCCAGCCATTGCATTTAAGCACTGTAAGTTGGGAGCATCTGCTGCATGTGGAAGCGTGTTTCAAAACTGTGCTGCCTCTGTGCATAGGCCGTGTACATACTCCTCAAGGTACACTATAAATCCTGCCCTGCCTTTACGCTGTCCCTCTTGTGTGCTGCTCCCTGGGCCGTGTGGGTGGGCGTGTGGCAGCTGTGCCAGGGCA